ACTCGCCAGGCGGCCATCTGTTCTCGCCGGGCCTTTCTATCGGCGTCTAGCATCGCCAGGAAATCTTCTCTGTCTTTCTTCCTATTGGCCTCCTCCTTCTCATGAATGGTTCTGATTCCCTTCATGAGAAGTTCAATCATCTGCTGCATCTCCATTTTGTCGCAGTAAAATTCTCTGAGGCGTATTTAAGCTCGTAAAAATTCTGACACCAAATTGTCACGTGTCTTGAGTTCGAAGCTCGTTGGTCACGTGTGTAAGTCCAAAACCCACTTCTGACACCAGTTGTCACGTATTGGGCGTATAACGCGACGGATAACTTCACGCCGTATGTTATATAGCGAATTTTATTTCACATTCGCACTTAAATCACCCAAATTACAGATTTACGATTACTGCTATCTGCAGTATCACAAATAGTACACTCCAAATGATACAATACAACTGACTGGTTGCTGGCTAACTCGGAACTAACTCGGAGGTAGCTCCAGGACTGACTGAGAATAGCCTTCGCTGCTCCTCATGTAGCCTCGATCGGACAATACAGAAAACGGCCACGTAATAAGCACCCTTGTTGCCTGGCGCTGTGTTGCTAGCAACGCTAGCGGCTGTAACCGCTGTTACTACCGTTGTCTCTCGCAATCCTGTTGACCTGCGCTGCCTAGCAACCCGCGGTACCCTTGGTGACGTCATCGCTGTTGACTCGCGTTGCGTAGCGACCAGGATGCTAAGACTCGGCGATCTTCGGCTCACTTCGGCTTCGCTCGGCGCATCACGGCTGGCGGGGGGGGAGGGGCGTCATCCATAGCTCAACATGTCACAATATATATATGTACCATTATACAGAATTTGCGTACTAGTGGACACTTGTGTTACCGAGCTACACAGTGTAATTGTGACATGGCTCTCTCTCTCTGTGTGTGTGTGTGTGTGTGTGTATATATATATATATGTTTGACAACAGAATTTAAAATGGGTTTTGCATCTTTTGTGGGGATAAAATTGAAAACATTGCCAGAAATAGCTAATCTGAATAACATGAAATGTTCTGGAAATAAGCTGCAATTATACTGAGATACTAAACTGGATGGAACCACAGTATACAGCAAGTTGTGCTGCTATTTAGAGGTAGGTTTAGGCAAAGATGGGCACTGCATTACACCTCAGGCATACCGTCCACTGAATTGGTATTTTTATTGTTGTGATCTTCTGGTTGTGTTCATAACTGTCAGGATAGTTCAGCCAGTGAATATGTTTGAATGACTGAGAAACTGTTGTTCAATTTCTGGCTGGGGACAAGAGATTTCTCTCTTCTCCACAGTGTCCAGACTAGCTCTGGGATCCATTGACCTTCCTTCTCTGTGGGTTCCAAGGTTTCTTTACTGACAAGGACATGAAGCTGACCACTTGCTTCCATCTAGTTCTGTTGAGAATGCATGCAACTGTACTTCTGTACTTTCACTCCTGCATACGTTTTCACCGGGAGGGGTTGATTATGGACAAAGACAACATCAACTTACTTTACCAAGGCCGTGCCATAATTCAGGTGGCTAGTCGCCAGCTTCCTACCATGGCAGCCCTGGTTTGAGCCCAAGTCAGGTCTTGTGGGATTTGTGGTGGACAAAGTGGCACTGGGGAAGGTTTACTCTTAGTACTTAGGTTTCCTCTGCCAATTCGCATTCCACCGATTGCTCCACAGTCATCATCATCTATCCTCTGGGGCTGGTACAGTAGACCAAACAGTGGCCGCAGTACCAAGTGGACTCAGTTTCACCCCATGAGAATAAAAAAATACTTTATGAAGCTTGTTGACACATCTAATGAAACAATAAGAAATGTTAGCCTTTTGTATATAGAAGATTATTTTGCTAAATCAAAGCAGAAACACTTCTGACTTCATGTTGTGAATGCAACCGGTTTGTATCTCAGCTAGGACACCGACTGTCATTACTTCAGGTCTTCCATGGTTTTCTCAGTCTGTTGAAATGAATAGCTCGTCATATTAGACCATGATCACTTCCTTTCATATCCTTTCCCATTCATTAAATCATTCTACAAGTTTTTATACTGTATTGTCTCAGCTGCTGACATTGTCATTAAATAAACCGCAAATAAAAGAATGTTGATTCTGTTAAGAGGTATGTTGTCAGATGTAGCTTATAGACAAAGAGTGTGTTTCATGAAGATCATGTGATCTAGAATTCATTCCTATGGAATTTGTGTTTGTTGTTTAGCCTTTGTTGAGGTTATAAAGTGTCAAACATTGTTGAAGGTGATCATTTATTGTTGACATGCAGCGACAGGGAGAGGGCAGTGGAAGGCGTGAAGCAGAAGACAGTGTCACTGTGGTCATTTATCAACTCTCATATGGATATTTACCGCAATCCGTTATATTGGTCTCCATCCACATACCAGCAGGTCCTCGTTCCAATAGCGAGTGTGAGACACATTATACTCTGGAAGGGTCATTACTGCCGCTGGAATCCTAGCATGCGTCCGCAGGTAACGCATCTGTATTTTATAACTCTCACAGCAGTGAGTACAAACATTGCTGTATGATAGGATGCAATGCTGCGTTCGTTGGGAGTATTATCGTCATCTTCCCTCTAGTTACATTCGTACTCTGCATGTCCAAGCTTACTCTTCTGCCCTGAAGATGGAGGTGGTAGGTTCCTCCAAAATGGTAAAATGATGTACCAGACTGCATGGTATCACATCCCACAAGACTAACCTTCACATCTTTATTGCCTGATTATTTGCAGATTTCTTTAAAAAGAATATTGCATGCATATAAAATATTAAGTCATGTGATTTTGACAGGCTCATGTACCATATCATGTATTGCTACATTGAAGCATCGATACTTAAAAGTAACTGATGATCCCGAACGCTGGAAATACCACAACTGATGCTGAATTCAGACCACAATCTGTTATTACTTCGAAGTTTTAGACTTCTGATTGTTTTCACAGTGCTGTGGAACTTCACCAAACTTACATAGATTACCCAGTGTTCTTAACAGAAACACATTCAAACATAAGTTAAGACTGAGCAGACTAAAAGTCCACTGGCTGTGAAACAATGTGGCAATAAAATAATGAAACCCAAAGTTGTAGCAGGAAGCTACATTCAGTAACTGAGATGTTACAAAGCGTTTCTGGTTAATCTGCACGTGGATAATAAAGTCTTCTGTATGTGAAGACGTTAAAATATAGCAAGAAGTTCTGGGAAGAACTGATTGCCTGCTTTCCTTTGATATGACACATACTGCACAGAAAATGACACCTCCAGCAATTCTTGGTTGCTACGGGAATGTGTTTACTGAGCTGTTGCCTATGAAAAGTAGAGGGATACACGGACTCTCACAGACTGTCCCTTGATAATGACATGGACTGCATAGAAAATGATGCATCCAACAATTCTTCTACTGTTGCATGCATTTGTTGGTGTGGGAACATGTTTACCAAGCTGTTGCCTAGCAACAGTACACATACAGGCGCACAGGCTGTTAAGAGGGGTTTATGAAGTACACCATTTGAGATAGGCCCAGGTGTCAAGTTTCATAAAGACTGGTTCTGGCATTCAAAAAGTTGGTGGGGGGGGGGATGCACATACAGACACACAGACAGCAAGGTAATTTCATGAGCCTACTTCCCCTCCAAATAAGGAAAGTAGGCTAAAAATAGAATTATTACATCTGCTGCATGGAGCTGGGATAGCACAGTCAGTATAGCAACTGGCTATGGGCTGGACAGCCAGGGGGTCAAGAATTTTCTCTTCTCCACATCATTCAGACTGGCTCTGGGGTCCACCCAACCTCCTATCCAGTGGGTACCAGGGGCTCTTTCCCCAGGCGTAAAGCAGCCAAGGCATGAAACTGACCACTCACTTCCAATTAATGCCAAGGTCAAGAATATATGGACCTATGCATCCACTCCCACATACGCCTTTATGGCATAGTGCTTAATTAATTAAGCACAAGGCAACTTTACGTTACTTACATCTGATATATTGTCCACATCGATTCTAATACACGGAGCAGTGTGTTGCAGAAAAACTGGATGAAACATTGTAATGATGTGAAGTTCTCATGGCAGTGAGTGATTCATGTTGTGGCCTTTTGGGTTATGAGACCATGTAGTTGGGCATGTACATGCCAGTGTTTCAGATGAATATGCTGCTTCTGTCATGAGAGTAGAACTGCTGCCACACGTCAGCACCCACCAGCATGCTACAGAATGAAAATGTCGGTAATTCTTTGCTTTCAAGAATATTTATGCAAACTTACTCAGAATGGTTGAGATTTAAGATTCTCAGACCAGTTATTGTGAAGATTACTGTCTTCTGGTAGGTGGGTACTCATGTTTCAGTGGGATATATCTGTTCTCTTTGTTTAGGATCCTGTGTATCAGCGTACAAGAGAATTGTTGGTGCTGAAGGAACAGTTACAGAAGCAGGCAGAGGAGTGCAGGCGAGAGCAACAGTCAAGAGCTGCCAGAAATATGGCCACACCGCCTCGTTTAGCCTCCCCAATACATAGTTAATCATATGTTCTGCTCATGAATTGTCAGCATGATGCTGAAAACTTAATGTTTCAGCAAGCATGGTTCTATTAAAAAGCTAATTTTTAAAACATTTAGGAGTTAAAATGACAGGGACGCAATAGTGAGATTTCAGTTTTCTTGGGACATGACACCATTTCAGAGTAACCAATTGTTTCAGTCTTTAGGGTAGTTGCTTCTTTCTACCCTGGTTCCTCAGAAATGTTGATACCTATATCCCAGAAGACTGAAATCATAATATTTGGTGCGGTGAGAATCTCAGATCTCATGCAGCTGTGGGATACGTTACCTGGATTAATATAAAAACTGGGTTTGTGTCTGAGAAAGTATCAGCCATTTCAGATATATAAGTTCTGCAAACAATTTCACTACAAAGTGAAGCAGCAAATGACAGCAGTTTCAATATCAGATTGTCTTACATTTCCAGAGACTATATATATATATATTCACATTTTTGTTGAAATATGCAAAGCAACCTTTTTTTTTTAATTTAAATATGTGGAACTTGATATTTGAGTCTCTTATGAAGGTGATCTTTAAGATATGATATCTCACATCATAATGTTAATCCCATGAAAGGTTTTTAGTACGTAGCTTTCAAGCAAGCATGGCTGACAGGAGAATTTTTTAAAATGTCTGTTGCTTGTTGGTGTCTCAAAAGCAGGCATGTTATCAGGTTGGGTTTTTCAGTCTCATTTTTAGATTCTAAAAGGTTCTGGTGATGGTGAATAACACTTGTGATAACTAGGTTTCTCAACTTTGTCCACCATCCAGTAATCTAAAGAACACAACATTCCAGAAACTAGATCTGTTTCTGTCCTCAGGTGAGGAGGTGGGAGACACTTGCTAGAAAGAGCTAACCAAAAACCCAGTAATCCCAAATATTGTGTACCATCATCAGAACCCTTTGACCAGTATGGCCCCAGTATATATTCCTTTGCTTTAGTCATCAATTGATTGAGGTTAGCTCTTCCTAACAAGAGTATGTGTCACTCACCCCATCACCTCAGGACAGAAACAGATCCAGTTTCTGATACATTGTTCTTTATTGTTGTTTAGAATACCATATGATGGACAGAATCCAAAAACCCAGTAATTCTGTGTCATTCAGTTATGTGTAGAAGTAACTGTCCATCACATATCACTGTTATGTATCTGTATGACACAGAGAGATATATCTCAAGACCAGAGTCACAAAATCTCGTAACACAACTTTCAGTACAGGTAAATATCTTTGCTCTTACTCATTTGTGTTACACGTGGAATTTTTCCTGTACAGAAATCACAAAACTTTAAATTTAAATTTAAAGTTAAATGCCAAAATGTTTTTAAACACAAAATGCAAAATAGCCATTTCACCCAAATGTAATTTTATTTTTACAAAATTATTATTTCTTAATAAATTTTATACAGTAAACCCATGGTAATCCGGTTATAGTAAATCCGGATTGAGGGAGCAAGAGGACTTTCAGGCTGTGTTGTGGGCAGCTGGAGAGACTGAAACCACACAACAAAATATCCAAGATTGGCTTTAGCTGGGATGAAGAAGATACCCTGTATTTGAGCTTGTCTTTTTATAGTTTTCTAAATAAAGGCTTTACAGTGATCTTTTTTCTTTTTTATTTATGTTCATCAGCACTACCTATATTAATGAAATTTGATTATCTAAGTTTTTTTTTTTTTTGCTTGTTTTTGGGCTATCTTTTGCTTCATTAATCTGGATTAGCAAGGGTTTACTGTACATGCTTTAGTGACACAGGAAATGTAGTCATTGGTTAGCCTACACATCAGTGATGTTGAGGGATGTCAGGTAGCATGGCTGCTATTGCAGTCCTACTTTAAACTGTGCTGTGTATTACTCTTATTTATGATGGCTACAGAACTGTTTTTATTACAGTTGTAGGCAATAGAAATATATCTTTATATATCTTTATGTACATCAGAGTCAATAGAAAAGTAGGGTTTGTGGTACGAACATGTCTTAATGAAAACATCCATTATATGATACAGCAAACACTGTTTATTGCAGTCAGTTCAGAATATAGCATAACTGATAACAGCATTTATTGGTGTAGAGCATGTGTACATATAAAGTGTTCGCTGTGTAGTGTTCGCTTTGCCTTCTGATGATGGCCAGTAGTGGCCAAAACGTGTAAAGGCTTTCTTAAATATTAAATTGTTGCACTTGGTGGATCTTGATACTTATTAATTTGTTCGAAAGTGCAACGATTTAGAATATATATGATAAAAGTGTTTTATACTCAGTCATTTCATTAAGTTACTTCACTTCCATTGTCCAACTTATTTCATCATTTTACTCTCTGGGCCTCTGACACTACACATGCTTTTGTCTAGTAGTCAGTGTCCGACTCCATTGCCTTCGTCAACCTCACACATTTCTAACCCATGCAAATATTTTTTTATGGTGGATCTGTTTGTATGTTATTGTAAGACATGACCTTTGGATTCTGAGATAATATGAAGTAGTTGTTTGCTGTGAGCTGCACAATACAACAGGCAACAGACTGTTAGACATGCCGTGCACCCAAGAGTGACCCATCATGAGGATGGTTCAAATTGAAGCCATTCACAGCACTATGAGCCCAGAATAATATCCAAACCGGCTTCATTTGAACAAGCCTCATAAGTATGCAGTCAGTATGGCTGTATAAAAATGCATCTATGTCAGTGGAGACTACAAAAACATGTCGGACAAGCTGCTGCTCCAAGGTATCAAATGATGTAATTATTGTGTGTTGCAGTCACAGCTATCCAGCTGTTCTCCTAAGGATGCAGTGAAAACTACTGTGCATATGTTAACTGTAATGAAATGCCCAAATGCAGAGATCAATAGAAGACTTTTGATTAGTTAAGAGTCAGAGATGCTGGTAGTGACATGGACAGAAGCCCCATGGATTGCTCTCTTGCATCCCTTATCTGTTGTTACACCCGTGCAATGTACTTCCCTATATTCCCCTCCATGGGTGTAGCCATTGTGTTTACAGAAATATGGCCAGTATCAACAAGCACTTTGGGCTGGTTGATGTAATCCAGAAAGGGTTGGTGGGGAATATGGTAGCAGTTAGCAGCAGCATCCCCACCATCCCTAGGACTTCTATCAATGGGCTCAGTATAGTAACATGTACATTAAATATTTCATTATGTGTATGAACAATAATAGTTGGAATTACACCAATATGATGTATACAAGATGCATAAATGTGATTCTCCTCAGTAATATATTTTATATTCTAAATAATTTAAAACAAGTAAATGTACAGCACTTAAGCATAATATTTCCTAAATTTCTGTAAAATAAATTAAACTGTAATTTCTAAAGTTCTGGAAATAAAAAATGAAACCAAGAGGATTCTTTCATGAGTATGTAAAACTCAGTTTTATATCCAAACTGTTCATCTTGTGGGGTTTTGGGAAGCACTATGTGTTAGTGTAAATATTGTGAGATGACACCTGAAAGTTGCAATCTGCCCATCTACTGGGCTGGGCTTCACAGAGCATGTTCCCATGGTAACACAAAATGTACCGTCACTCTGGGCTTTGACTAAACTGTTGAAGATATATCCATGGTAACTAGTTCTGAAAAAGATGTTTCCTACACAATAGAGTGTACATGAAGTAGAAGTCAGCAAGGATGTGCGTTCTATACTGTCCAAGTGGGGAAGATAATAACAAACCAAGACCAGACCTTGAGAGACTACAGACTCGTCAAGATTCAAGTTATGTGTGTGACACTGAGTCACTGCTGAGAAGCCGTCAACTGATTAATCAAAGTGTCAAAGACGTTAGTCCATGGTGTGTAATTGGAGAACACCAATAAATCCATTGATCCCGTCTGGAACCCATTCCGGTATGCATGACAATATTATGTTTCGGGATAGTATCCACTGTCCTGCTTATATCACAAAACATGTTTCAGAGACTGGATTCCTTCTGTCTTCAGGTAAAACCTATTCAGTTGGGCCCAATCAATAGAGCTAGTCTGTCTCTGGAGATAGAATCCAGTTTCTGAAACGCTGTTTTGTGATATAAACAGGATGATGGATGATGTCCAGAAACATAATTTTGGTAGCTTGTATTCGCCTCCACCTAGTACTGAGATCGGACAACTTTACCTTTTACTTCACATTCCTTTTAGATGTTAACTTCCATTTTCTGTAATCTCTAGTGGAGCAGGCTTGCACAGTGGTATTGCTCTGCATTTGTTTTTTGTGACACCTGAAATCAGCCCTCTCCAACTGGTGGCATGCAAATCACATTTAATCTTCCATTCTACAGAATATGTGCTAATGCTATTATCCCCTTTAAATAGAAGATACATTTTGTTGACATCTATATAAATAAAAATATAAATGTTCGTTTGTTCCACGTCTTAAATCTCCGAAAGTTCTTCACCGGTTGCTTCGAAATTTTGACACAACGTTGCATTCGAATACGAGCGTTTTATATACCTACTACCTGTACCTGGCCACACGTGAATCCGGAAAGTATACTTCCATGGGAACGCAATAACAGTTGCATAGGAATTGCCAAAACAACAAACGCGTTTCCCTGGAGATTAAAAGGGTAAGAGGTTCCGTTGCGTAACAAGGGATGAAACAAGAAGGTATATTTTCATGGGAATGCAATAACAGTGGGCTGTTGCATAGGAATTGCCGAAACAACAAACGCATTTCCCCGGAGATGAGAGGATAAGAGCTTCCGTTGCGTAACAACGGATGAAACCAAACACTTATACAAGGTGTTCTGTGCTAGCATTTCCTAAGCAACAGATGAAACTAACTCTTCGATGAGGTATTCCATATCCCGTCCAAACGCTGGCTATATGTATAAGAGAGTGTAGCTCCGGCGACTGTTCAGTATCACGAGGTCACAAGTATCACAAGAGATTCCGAGTGAAATCACAGCAGAGATCCTGAGTTTGCACTCAGAGTTTTGGATTCGACTCTGGCAGCGTTTCCCCGGTGATAGACAAGAGAAGGCTCATTGTATAGCATCTGCCGAGGTATAAATAGTCCAGCTTGGACAAGAATCAATCAATCTTGGGGCAGATGCCGAGGGATACAGAAGAGAGTCTGGAAATAACCGCCGAAGGAGTCAGTCTTGGGATAGCTACCGCCAAATATAAACAGTTTCGATTTATTTTCATTTTGATTTAATTATTTCGTGTGACATTGCGTTGGAATTGGGCTGTGTCATTTACCATAGCGTTCATTTCGTGAGTATAGTTTATTTTTCATTGTTTTTCATTTCGTTTTCGTAACTGTTTTCCTTATTTTTCAGTGCAATTGGTGGTGGGATATAGCTGTGTCGATTGATCTGCGTTTGAATTGAAATATTTCGTTAGACTGAGCCACAGCAACGCGTGGCCGGGTACAGCTAGTAGAGCTATATAAAGTGTTTGGTTTGGAGTTCTCACAGCAGTTGACTTTGTCACCTTTGCTCCCTGCTTCACCCACAAGTTGGAGCATCTAGATGTTGGAGTGCATGACATTTAAAACAAACATGTTACAATGCTGCAAGGTGACAGCTTGATTATACAGTATCCAGGAGAAACATCAGTATATCAGATTGGTGGTATTATTGGCAGTTCACACCAGAGGGTATTATAACCAGAATATGTATCTAGGTTCCTAAAATGTGGAAGTAAGAGGTGAAGCAGACTCTTGTTTATTTGGTTAGTTGTTTACATATCTGGGAGTACATCTTTTGCCATACTGTTAAGAAAACGTAATTGTAAGGAATGTGATTCCAACCAGGCGGCTTTTGTGATTCCTTAATAGCCTGTCAGTATTCTTAATTTAATTTTTTT